AGAGTAATATCCCTTTTACAAAGAACAGCAGCACCAGCTTTAATAATTTCTAAACAATATCTTTTTTAATCTCATTGTCAATTAGCAGCATTTCCAATGTATTAAAATGCTCCAATCTTTTCCTAACTGCCTAATCAATTTTAAGAAGTATTAAAATTATTTTAGATATTGAGTTTCAATGTATTTTTTTATCTAAAATTAAAGCCAACTCTTTTCCAAACTCATTAAGACAGCAGCTTTGAAGATTATCATTTCTTAGAAGCGACCTTTTAAAAAACTTTTAAAAAATTTTTTGGATAGAGGTTTTAATTCCATCAAGCTCACATTGCTTAACAGCTTCTTTATTAAGTAATAGTTCTTCGGAATTGACAGAAGTTTCATAATTGGTTTCATTATCACCATCATCGACTTCTTCAGTATCCTCATCCAAGGTGTCACAACAAGAATCTTTATCTTCTACTAGATCGTTTGCTTTTTTATAAAGTACATCAACTACTGCCAAGCCAAATGAATTCCATGAGAAAGACATTGTTAATGAGTTATTTGAGACAATCTTCCAGTTTTTTTCATTACACTTAATCCATCTAGGGGTGGCAAATATCCCGGAAATTTTCAATCCTGGGATTTCGGGATTGACAAGTTTGTCCCTGGGAAATCCCGGGATTGAATAGAAAAAATGCAAAGAGGTTGTCCATAAATTACATAACGCAAAATTTCACAATAAACAAAACAAAAAAAGATCAAAAGTTTTCCCTTTTAGAGTCTTAATTTAAATAAATAATCAAAATAGGAAATTTAGTAAAATGAAAATCGTCGCGTAAAAGAGCTTAATATCTCCTACTTCTGTTAAAATAATTTTTGCGTTGCATAATTTATGGACGATCCCAACCGCAATTAATTACTTTTTAAGCACTCATCAAACACTTAAAAATGATTAATTTAATGATAATATAACTAAAATATTTGATACATTAATGAACCTTTAAAATTAAGTTGAATCATATTTTAACTTAATTTTGTATTAAAACTTATCTAAGACTTTTAAAAATTGTTAAACCTAAGTATTATAAATTATAAAACAATACCTTAAAATGGTAACACAGTATAAATGATAATAAAAATTAAAAAAATATAAATATGCATGACGTTAAAAAAAACTTTCGTAAATCACGCATTTTCATAAATCAAATATTTGAAAATTAAAATGAATAGATATAAAATTGGAATTAAAATTGTACATACTTTTGGAAGCAGAAAATTCAAAATTAAATTAATATATACCTTCTATTAAAAACTCTTGCTCATTTTACCAGCAAGCGCTTAAATTTTATTTATTTTTATAATATACTAGTTTTAATATTATACTATATATTATATATAGTATAATGTCAAAACTATTATATTATAAAAAATAACAAAAATATAAGCGCTTGCTGGTGGAAGGAGCAAGAGTTTTTGATAAAAGTTATACATTAATTTTATTTTATTAAATATTTTGAATTTTTATTATATATATATGACACAGGGATCGGTAATTGGCCCGATCTTGCTTGTTGTGTTCATAACCAAGCTCTGCAGATGACATGAAAATTCAACAAGATATAAACAGTGCTTGGGACTGGTCTAAAGAATGGTTAGTGAAATTCAATAAAGAAAAATATGAAATAATACACTATGGCAGTAAAAGTCCAAAACACGAATATTCTATGGATAATGTTGTCCTAGGACAAACCACTCTTCAAAAAGATTTGGGCGTATTATTCTCGGCAAACATGAAATGGAGACAGCAAATTATATCTTGCAGCTTGAAGGCAAATAAAATGCTGGGAATGATTAAAAACACATTTGTGGAACTGGCTGTGCAGACTCTTAAAGTCTTATACGTGATGTTTGTTTGCTCATTAATTAAATTTGCAGTTCCAGTGTGGTTCCCTCAGCTTAAAGGAGAAATAGAAATGCTCGAGAAAGTTCAACACAGGGCTATGAAACTTAATCCGACTCTGACAAAAATGGAATACGTGAAAAGACTGGAGATTTTTGGCCTCACCCCATTATATGAACACAGAATTTTCGGAGATATGATCCAGACTTATAAGTTATTAAACAAGATTAAAAATGTGGCATTTATAAATGTTTTCAAGCCAAATGATTTTCAATTATCGAGAGGAAGCGGTGTCAGGTTTAAACACAAAAAAACCAAATTCCAAATTAAGACACTCATTCTTTACCAACAGAATAACAAAAACAGAAAAATTTACCAAGAGAAGTGGTTAATTAGACAATTGGCTCCTTTTAAATTAAATTAATACTGACACGGCTGTCTAAGTGTGTTAATAATACACACTCTCGTCGTCTGCGGGCAACTACAGCATCTACTACTACTATTACTATATATATATATATATATATATATATATATATATATATATATATATATATATATATATATATATATATATATATATATATATATGTATATATGTATATATATATATATATA